AAAAAGGACGCTTTCCTCTTTTTCTTCCTTTCTCTCTCTCTCTCTCTCTCTCTCTCTCTACGCTCTTTAGACTCGACGCCAGACGCCTTTTCCCTCGGCCGACGATTGAATATTTTTCGTTGGCGTGTGCCGTTTACGCTTCATTCCCTTGAAATTCCAGAATTTCCAGAGCATCTGCATCCAAACAGCTGGCCGCGCCACCCCCTTCGCTTATCCTTTCGTTCTGTGAAGCGCGCGGCGACACACGACGAAACGAGACGTTTCCATCTGGTTATCGTTACAACAGGAAAACAGATTTCACAGAACACAGAGGAAAAATATTCCATGGAATTATCGTCCTGTACGAGAATGATAATGTACGAGAGGACGAAAAGAATAATATAATCGAGGTATTGTTTAAAGAGAGTAAACGATACTTTCGAATCGAGTTCGAATGGAGTGGAGGCGCAGGGTAGGAAGAGCACCACGCGCCTCGTGGCGAACAGATGACCAAACATGTTGAAAACGAGTATCGAGTTTCCTGGTAAAAATGCATTTGTATATCCGTGGCCACGCGAAGGATTTCTATTTGTTTTCGGCTCAGCTCTGATAAACGTCCACGTGGAAAGCCGGCATTGTTTTCTTTCTACGCGCCCTCCAGGATACCTGAGTGCACAGGTGATTGCGAACACGTCCCCCTTTGTTCCCCCTCTCGCTCTCTCTCCCCCTTGGCCTTCTTCCGCCGGCTCTTTCCTTCCACCGCTCGTTCCTAAATTTCGACAGAAATTTCCTTCCACCAACGTTCATTGCTTGCACGGATTTTGACTTTCTTTTTTTTTTTTTTTTTTTTTTTTTTTTTAAGGAAAACCTTCGTTTCGAAATATGCGATCGGGTTTTCAGAAATATCGAGAGAAGCGGAAGAGAGCGAGAGAGAGACGGATAATAATGGATCTCTTATCGTCGACTTCGACGTTACACTCGCGGCTTCTTTTCTTTTGATGTTCGAAAAGATAGCGATCGAGCGTACGTTAAATCGATGACGGTCGACGTGGGCCCGACCCGTGCTCGGGGAGAGAAGTCCACGGGGGAAAAAAAAAGAAGAAAAAAAAGAAGAAAAAGCCGATCGCCGGTTTGTCCTCCGCGACGAGGTGACGTCTCTTTCGTTCCTTTCTTTCGTTGGCGGAGCATATGCTGCCAGCTGCTCGGACCGCTGCCCAAAGGGTTGAGGGTCTCTGAATTTTCAAATTCCATTCTTCGCGATTTCTTTCCACCACGCGTCACTTCCTTCGCGTCTTCTTTGTCCCTCGTCTTTCTCTCCGTTTTCGAACTCGAATTCGTCGATATTCGTTGCGTGGTCAATATATTTACGAATATCAGACGAGATCGAGATTTCGAGTGTCGTGGGAACGATTTGCTCGGGGAGGGAGGCGGAACTTGGAAAGAGGGGGAGGGGAATTGGAATTTACCGAACGCGGGTTGTATTTAGTCCATTAGAGCGTTCAGAGGCGCGTGGAAAATGATCGGTAATCGTCTTGCGTTTTTATTAAAGCCGCCGGTATTAACTACATCCTGGACGCAGAACCCCTGCGGATCGGTTTCTCTCTAATTTTCGACGATGCACTGACGTCACACCATCGTGTGCTCCCCGTGTGTTCCGGTCTGCGTACCCGGGACCGGAAGCAACGAACTCGTTGGGGGGGCGCGGGGCCCCGAGTTCAAACTAAAAAATCCCCCACGGATATCGATGTTCTCGCGTTTAAACGAGGAGGAAGTCGATATTCCCTTGAGAACTGGACGGTTGTCCGGTAGAAACCGGAGCTGGCCCTAAATATTATAATTGCCCTGAAAAAAAACCATCTCTCATCT